ACCCTAATGACATCTGCAAGAAATACAGAATCTAGTACCCCCTGGGAGCTTAAAAATGCAGGAATGGAATTGAACTGTCAAACAATGTTCCTTCTGATTTCATTAAGCTTTGAGTAGATGATCCTACTCTAGCAAGAAAAACACAAGCACCTTTGTTAGTGACAGGGAAGAGGTGGACAAATCCACTGGGCTCATCTGATCCCACCTAAAGCCTAAGAAGAGATCACTGGGCCATGACGTTGATTTCTGTCATTTGGCTCTGAACAAAATCCTGGAGCTGAAAACCTCAGCAGCACCAGAGGAAGCACTAGAGATAGGATTGGAGTGGAGGAAGCAATGGAATTGGCATTTCTGCAATTTGCTGGAGAGAGAAGCAGCATCGAAGAAGGCAGGAAAACGTTCCAAGACTTCTGAAGACTCTGGAGTGCCATAATACTTCTAGAAGGGCTCAGAAAAATCTCTTTCCTGTCAGCTTGCCACACATTGTCCCATTTTTCACTTCTTCCTAACCTTATACTCATTCTAATGAAATCTATTTCTATACTAATTTGCTATCAATATTGCCTTTTAAAAAGCATCATATTTGGTCATTACAACTCTTGATAAAAATATTCATACCTCTATTTTAGTACTAATGATAACAATAGTAATATTTGTCTAAACAATTTCATTATCTTATTTAATCTTCAAAGCAATGCTAAGACAGAGAAATGCTAAGACAATGCCAGGCAGAGAAAGACAAATACTGCATGGTATCATTTATATATGGAGTCTAAAAAAAGCCAAACTCATAGAAACAGTAGAAAAGTGATTGCCAGGTGCTAGGAAGTTGGGGAAACAGGGAAAGGTTGGTAAAAGGGTACAAATTTTCCACTATGAATAAGGTCTGAGGATCCAAGATAAAACATGGTGACTATAGTTAATAATACTGTATTGTATAATTATAGTTTGCTAAGAAAGTGGAACTTAAATATTCTCACCAAAAAAAAAAAAAGATAAATATGTGAGGTGATGCATGTGTAAATTAACTACATCAGGGAATCTTTGCACAATGTGTGTGTGTGTGTGTGTGTGTGTGTATAATTGCCACAATTACAGTTTAAATATCTTATCACTTTATTTGTTAATTATACCTCAATAAAGCTGAATTTTTTTAATGGACTGGGGAGGTGGCAGTGGGGAGGTACTGAGGTGGGGGTGAACAAAGAAGTTTTTGGAAAACAAAAAGAAAGTCATAGAGATTGACCAGATACAGGAATGAAGGAGGAGGAGGAATCGAGAACAATGCCAGGCTCCTGGCTCCGTGGTTGGTCCCCAGGAATGGTTTCTCATCACACTGGACCACATTTACCGCAACCTGCAGAGCCCATCACATCTGGGCTCTGACCACCTCTCCAAGCCCACCTAGCTCAGTGTCACCACTCACCAGGGTGGCCTTCTGTGTGCTACTGCCTACCGCGGGCTGTTCTCACCTTCAGGGCTTTGCACTCGCTGTTCCCTGGACCTGAAGCCAACTGTCCCCAGATCTTCACATCTCTGGTTCGTTCGTCCCTAATGAAAGGCCACCTCCTCAATGGACCTTACTTAACCACCCTATTTGTTATTTTATTTTACATACTTCTCACTATCTGTACTTTCTTTGTTACTTATTACCTGCTTACTGCTGTCTCTCCACTTCTAAGTGTACACTCTATGAAAGCAAGAAACTTGTTTTGTTCATTGCTGAATCTCCAGCACCTCAAGTAGCACCCAGTATATGGTTAAGTACTGAGTAAATATTCATTGAATTTATAAATTAATGAATAAATAAATAAATACGTGCATGTGTTAATGGGGAGCTCACAGGGAGAGTAGGCTTGAGAGGCACGAAGACTTCAATTTTGACATGATGTACTAGAGGGGTATACACCAATAAAATATGAGTATCCACCTGGATGGTAGTTAATATACAGCTCAGAACAGACTCTGTGCCTGAAAATAAATTCAGTCATCAACACAGAGATGGTAACTGAAGCCATGGGACCAAAGGAGGATGTCCAGGCAGAGAGCAAGAAAAAGGCAAGGGAGCTAGCACCCAGAACAGCACCTGGCACACAGTAAATACTTAATAACTATTTATTGCAAAAATCAACAAATGAATGGATGGATATGCTATAGTCATTTGCACACTCCTATGATCCTATAAAACACTATATAAGTCTCATTTGGACATAAGTTTGGACNTTAACAAACAAATAAATAGACGTGATATTTTTAGACAGTTATAATTCAACAAAGGAAATTAAGAACAATGTGAGCAAGTCTAGCAGGAAGTAATACCACTGTTACTGTATACAGAATGGTCACAAATGCCCCTCTTGATTAGATTAGAACCAAGACCTGAATACTGAGGAGACAGCAGCCATGCTGCCTCAGGGGGCAGAGTGTGGCCAGTAGTAAACAGCAAGTACAATATCTTTAAGCAAGATCCAGACTGGAGTATTTGAGGATATAAAAGCCTGGGTAGGTAGGGGTGGGTGGCATGAGAGCAGATCAGGGAGACAGCAGAGGCCACATGGGGTGCTGACAGCATGATGGACAAATGTTACTTATTTGCTACAAATTCTCCCAAAAAGATTTCAGCTATTTTTTGCTACTGGCAGACGCACTATTCCTAAATCCATCTATTCTCATAGCTCCTTGTGTATAACAGATGATGGGCTTGGGGTACAGTCTAGGAATAAACAATAACCAAATAATTTTGTTTTTTCATTTTCGAATTTGCAAGCAGCAAATACTTGGAAAGCATCAACCACATGTTACACAATGGTGTCCTTTTATTTCATTTATTCAGTGATCCCATGCCTTCCCTACAAAATCCATCATGGATGGGTGGCCAAAACACTGGCCAAGGAGTCAGAGACCCGGTTCTACTACAAGCCTCACCATTGCTAACCCATGATTTCTATAAGTTACTTAGCATCTCAGTTTCTCAATTCCACCACTTGTAAAATGAAAGGATTGTATAGATAATGTCTTTCCATCTATATCACTCTACTGATTTCAGCACTACATCTCTGTTGCTATAGTCAAATCTGTACTGAGAATTTACTTTCTATAGTTGAAAAGCCTATCATAACACAGTTGACCCTGAACAATGCAGAGGTTAGTGGCACTGACCATACGGGCAGTCAAAAATCCACATATAACTTTTGTCTCCCCACAACGTTAACTACTAATAGCCTACTGTTGACTGGAAGCCTCACCGCTAACACAAACAGTCAATTAACACAAATTTGTATGTTATATACCTTATATACTGCATTCTAACAATAAAGTAAGCTAGAGAAAAGAAAATGTTAAGAAACTCTTAAGGAAGAGTAAATATATTTACCATACTGTACATATTTATTGAAAAAAAATCCACATATAAATGGATCTGCACAGTACAAACTTGTGTTGTTCAAGTGTCACCTGTATTGTATCCTGTGGCAAATTAAAATATCAGATATGCTCTGCTATATAATTTTGGAGAATGTATAAACTCATGGGACTAAATAAGGGGCATAGTGAAGCAACAATTTTTTAAAATAGTAGTTTCATTTCCCAAAAAATGTTCCTGCTAATTTCCCTACATGTCTGTAGTTCTAAGAAGATGCTTGTACATGGAAAAAGTCTGCCTTATTATCTGTGGTATTAACAACTATTTCCAAAATAGTAGAAGTAAACAATGAACAATAATAATTCTCAGTTTACCTAGTGCCCTTTCAGCTCAAGATATCAAAGTACGTTATTTACATAACAGAAAATAAAAGGATTGCCACCATTTAACACTGGCTAATGTATTTTAACTAAAAAATATATGGAAATTGCATACTATTCATGTAGTGGTTCCTCTCAAATTCAACCACATTAAATAAAAAATACAGTTACCAATCCTCAGGCCTCAACAATAATCAGCCTAGTCATCAAAAGAAGAGAAAATATTTTATTCTAAAATACTTGATACTACTTAGTCTCTTAAGAACCAGTTGAACCCTTGGAAATTAGGCAGGGTATTAACATGTTAAATGTACATTTCTAGCAATCCCATTTCTGATCATTCACCTTAAAGGAATAATTGCTTATATACATGCATATCTAGAGACAATAATGTTCAGTGAAGCATAGCAACAATTTAGACCCAGCCTAAAAGTCCACCAATAGCAAAACGATTCAATAAAGTATGACATATACATATAAGAGATTCTTTGTAGCCATGAAAAGAATGATTTTTAAATGAGAAAGTGTCTATGATATAGTAAATGAAAAATGCAAACTGAAGACCAATATATTTAGCACGATTAAGTGTTGGAGGGAAATAATAAAGAATATGTGGAGGAGAGTGTTTTAATATTTTATTACTTTAGAATTATTAAAGTAATATATAATTTTGAACTATTCAAAAATAAAGCAACAGAAGAAATTATTGCAGCAGTTTGGTTTGGTGTGTGTCATCTATTCTTTTCTTGTAATAATTGGACAATATCTGCACATTTTAACGAAAAACTTATGACACATATTAGTCTAAAACTTCCTTTTAAGTCTTAATACTGCCTTCCTTTAATAATCACATAACAGCTTATAGTATGAATATACCCAAACTTCTTCAACTGGTATTCATTTGGTCTCCTTTTGATTGATATAGATATCTAGCTTGTTTCTTTTTTTTCTTTAAAATCATATAATAGTAGTTTAATATATGGGTATGACTATAAATACTATACAGATAGTAATCTTTGAGATGTGAGATTAGAGGGATGTATAGAGGCTCTGGTTTATTTCATTTCTTTATATAGTACCAATAAAGGGGTACAATTTTGAGTGGTATTTCATATTTTATATGTTTTCAAAAACTTTAAATATGAACCTTACTTTGAACTTACCTTCACTAGGAAAGTATACAAGGCTAAATTCATTGCCCATGTTTCCCTCTAAGCTTCATCCAAGGTCTTTGGCATAGAGTATATGGCATCTAGCATCCTTCCCATATCAACAAGTCAGAGCACAAGAAAGTAGTCCCAGTCAGAAGGGGGTGTGAAGCTCTAACTGGAAATATAGAAAGCAAATGGTAGGAATAAATTAATTTTAAAACAGACTAAATCTAGTCTAAAATAGCTTAACAGAATGGGGTTTATATTAAAAGGGAGGATCAAGTCCAAAACGCCTGTATAAGGAAAAATGTGGCTGGCACCATGTGTAAGAGACAGACAGTAAAATGAATGAATGAACAAATGAATGATGAAAAATGAATTGGATACATGAATTGGATGAATGGAAGGAGGCCTTTATCACTGATCAGTCTCTTGAATCTTCTCCATGACCTATAATGAATTTTCTTCCAAATTCATCTTGGAGCTTCTCACTTGCTGAAAAAGATCTCTGGAAAGTCAGAGACACAGCAATAAAGAGCGGAAGTGAGAATTACCAGAAACTGGTGCAGGCTTTCTACTCTGATGACCTGAGTAATTTTCACAGCAGGCAAATCAATTCTAAATCCCCATCAGATCAAGGCAAGATTGGAATATCTAACTTTTGNACAATTCATCGAACAAGCTACATGTATACATTCTGGAACATTATTCCATTATCAGAATATCCAAACTTAGCATTTGGAAACCTATTTGCAAAAATTAATGTATTTTGCTTATCTCTGAAAATGACTAAATGCACATAACTTAAAATATATGTATTAGATCACCCTACAAAAGCTATTCCAGGAATTTTTCTAAGTTTAATTTCTTTTGTAGAAGGGCAATGTTTTTGAGTGAGACAAATACACACTGAGATTCACTATTCACTAACATCAAAATGTCCGGCACTTTGGTTGTCTCCATGTGTTGGCCACTGTGACTTTCAATAGATGATTGGATAAGGAAGATGTAGTATATATACACAACGGAATACTATTCTACCATATGAAAAGATGAAATAATGCCATTTGCCACAACATGGATAGATCTTGAGATTATTATGCTAAGCGAAATAAATCAGACAGAAAGTTGAGAACCATATGATTTCACTGATATGTGGTATATAAAACTGAAAGCAACAAAGGAACAAGAGAAACAAATGAAGAAAGAAAAACTCATAGACACAGACAATAGTTTACTAGTAATCAGAGGGTAAGGGGAGAGGGGTTGGTAGGTGAGGGTAAAAGGGATCAAATAGATTGTGATGGAAAGAGAACTGACTCTAGGTGGTGAACACACAATATGATATATAGGTGATGTATTACAGAATTCTACACCTGAAACCTATGTAACTTTACTTACAATTTTCAAACCAATAAACTTTAATTAAAAGAGAAAAAAAAAAACTTGGCACTGAGGTAGGAGTCAGTTATAGGACACAAAATAGGGCACATTAATTCACTTACCATGGTCTTCATCTCAACTATCATATCAGGTAGGAAAAAGTAAACCTCCAAAGAAGCATAATGCAGAATCTTTAGGTCTGGGAAGAACAAATAGTTAAGAATATACCCACCGTAAATTCAGAGGAAATAGCAAAGAAACACTGGGACCACAAAAAGATTAATATGTTTGGACACGGCAGTGGTGCATCCCAATGCTGAATTATGCCCTTTTTATGGCTATATGATGGGAAATAGATGACAAGTACATGTACAAGGGGGCTAAATTTTAAGGAAAATTTGTGACTGTCTTATGAAAACCCGAATGGGTTAAATTAGATTTTTTCCTTTGAAAAGTCAATATGTGGATTTGTAAAGTCCAAGAAAAGCCTGGATAAAATAGCATAAGAAATCCCTTGACCTAACTTGCAGTTTATACATTAAATCAAACCAAAAATAAGTTATCAGCTGCTCTGTCAGTATAGAAAAAAATCAATATTTTCCTATCATACCATCTGCTTTAGCTGTACAAGTTAATAAATTTAGCTGGTGAAATTTTCTTCTCTTTGGATTCTGGAGAGAGAAAATATATTTTCAATAGTTAATCTAGTCACTTATTATATAGAGCAATAAAAAATGAAATACTGTTGTTTGGACATGTGAGTTTGCCATGTTTGGTAACAGGATTCTTCACCACCGAAGTAGCAAGCCTGTGNATGGAAGGAGGCAGATGAGTAAAAGATGGGTTGGCTAAACCATAAAAAGGCAATGGTGATCTTGAGCACAGGACTCTGAGATTCGGTTTTCTCATCTATTAAACAAGGAAAATAAACCCTATCTTGCTGTGTGGGGAAGAATAAAGTTAGATTATACAAGTAAAACACCTAGATAATATGTCTCTCAATAAATGCTCATTGTCTTCTATCCCTTTACTCCTTAATTCATTAGGTCCCTTGCTTCTTCGACTAGATATAGTTTCCAAATCAGCTTCTCCTATACTGAGCCCTGGAAAATTGCTGGCTTTAGTCCTGCTGCCTGACATCCCAACAAGCACACCAAAGACGGGAAGGATAAGCCATCAAAGACCTGGATGGGGGGGGGTTCCAGAAACACGTCCTGGAGTTGCAGGTGGTTCCCGACTTAGAGAGAAGACAGGGTGGAGATACAGGCAACTCTGTAGGCAGAGGGGACCAAGGGAGTCAGGCCCTGTGGGCAGGAGTGTACAGAACAGGGATAACAAGGCAAGAGCTGACAGAGACTTGGACTGTTCAAGGTTTTTCTTTTATTTTCCTTTGCTTTTGGTTTTCCCTTTGTTTTCAGTAAAACTCCTTTTGAAATTATTACTTATCTTCATGTGCTTAGAGAAAACAGAAAATGGCAGACTGTTCATGCTTAGGCCAGGATAATATATGGTGACATAGGTCACCTCTACCATAGGAAGAAGGGGATCAGGAGAGGGGCAGCCTTCAAGTCTTTCTCAGAGGAGACATTTGACAGACTGTGTCCTTCATCACCACCTTTCTCACCTCCTTCCACCCCATGAGACATATTTCTTTGCAAAGGAAAAATCTAAAGTGAATATGGTAACATATTCGCTTGTGTTAATCTGGCTGTTGAGTCATGAGTGTCTCATTATTTTCTAGACTTCTTTGTAGATATGAAGTATTATTAAAAACTAATAAAAAACTCAACCCTTGGAAAAGAATCAGAATTTTCAACAAATGGTAACCACAATAATATTTTGCTATTATTTATCAGTGAGGGAAAAGGAAAGAAACCTTTAATAGCCAATGCTGAGTTTTGGTGCATCATGGCGTGCTCATTCAGTGGAATATTATGTAGTCTTTAAAAGGACTGCTTATAGTACCAGTTATGTGAAAGAGCAGAGNATTTCTAAAATTTTCTATTTTGCTAAATTTCTTGTGGATTTCACAAGTAAATACCAATATTAGTCACAGAAACCTGGGGTGGAAGATATCATTCTTCCAACCAGTCTAATCTAGGATGGCTTCCCCCATGCAAGGGATTTAGAAATTTGAAATGGAAACTAATTGGAAAGCCGATCTGCTCGCATCTGAATTTCTAATGATGCCATTTTGCAGGCCAAGCTTCCTTTCAGGCAAGGAATTTTGCCCCTTCTATCAAGTCCCAAACAGCTTCATCTATTGAGCCACATTCATCAGGAATTCTGAGACATGCCAGAGCTCAGAGTGAAACAGGTGCATCTGCACATAGCCATCTGAGGGATGCACACCCAGTCCCATGCACAGCTGGGATGTGGTAATGGATGTTTGGCAGGCTGTCATTTATCAACTATGTCTCTAACCTCAGAGATAACTAGGCAGCATACTATGGCCACCTGCCATGAACTCACGGCCATAAGTTTTCTGGCCTGGGCTCTGTCTTGACAGGCCCATGGGAAAAAGTAGAACACACATGAAAAGGGGATGGTGGGATCAGGCTAGGGATGAATGAACGTTACAGTCAAGGCAAAGTTGGATCATATATTGAACAAAAGAGAACGAACGTATGGAGAATTCGAAATAAGAAGTATCCTGGATGGGACGTACGCTATACTCTGTAATCATCCATTCAATAAATACAGCCAGACACTGTTCTAAGTACTTGAGATACATCAGTGAGCAAAACAAAGATCTTTGCGCTGATGTAGTTTGGGGGAGACATAAAAAAAACAAGCGACACAATAAACAGGAAATAATATAATTATAAAACATTTAGTAATATGACAAAATGAAATGCAAGTCACATTAAGGAGGATTGGGTATGCCAGGATTTGGGGAAGGGAGGAAAGATGGCAAGTTGTAACTTTAGTTAGGACAGTCCATGTAGGTCTTACTGTAAGAATATGATACTTGAGCATCAACTTAAAGAGGACTTAAGGCAATTAACCATGTGGATATGCAGGGAAGGCACTTTCTAGGTAGAGGGAGTTGCCAGTGCAGAGTCACAAGGGAGGAACATGCCAGGCCTGTTGAAAGAGGCCTAGGTGGTTGCAGTTGAGAAAGTGGCGGGAATATGGTAGGCAACGAGGTCCCAAAGGTACTGGCGTCAGACCATGTGGGCCTTGAGAACCGTTGTTGGGCTATTGGATTTTACTGGGAGGGAAATGGGTAGCCATTACAGAGGTTCCTCTATGCAGAGTTCCAATGGTTCCATCTACTTGTTGGCTCCACCCCCCAAATATGGAAGACACTTTTCAGACACTGAAGCACAGAATTGAAATATCTTTGCCCATTCCAGCTCTAACATTTTATGTCAAGGGAAGTGAATTTTAAGTGAGACCATGGAGCTATGCATGGTCTATAATTCCTGAAGAGGTATTATTTGAAGACTTGAAACACATAGATATAATTCATTATCAGTGTCAAAAATATTTTTCCATTTTTAGAAGGAGTATAGAAGTCTGTTACTCTGAGAAAATTTAATTTTAATCTTATTCACATTTGGCCTGCTAGCAAGCTATTCAAGTAATCACATGAAACCAGAATCTGCATGTTCTTTGCCTCTGATACTGACTAAAATGCATTCCTAGGCTTTTCCTACCAAATCTGAATAAGATTAGCAACGGACTGTTTCCCGGTAGGCCTACCTTCAACATTTCAGGTCCTATTTTGAAATAAAGCATATTACAATTTGCAAGAGCTTCAATTTTGTCTTAGAACAATGTATAA